TTTCACGGTCAAATTCCAAAACTTTTGAATAACATCTAATTTACAAAAGCTAATATGTGCGCAGAGTTCAACCGCTGAACAAAGAACCTTATAAAAAGAAACGTACATTATTAAAAAATAATATTTTAAAAATAATTAATAAAATTTCACTGGTATTTAAACACTATAATAACGTCTTATTTGGTTGGTTTATGATAAAGCCTGCTTTTGTTTGGATTGCTGTTCTTTTATTTTGATGTCTGTAATTTTCATTATGTCTCTGGATCAAAGTAATTGCAGGAACATTGCTCGTTTCTGTTTTCGTTGATCTTGGAACAGACAGTTCGCAGAATATTGTTTGGATTTGTAAAAAGAATGAATATAACGAGAATTTCATATGGTAAAATGTGTTACAGAGAAAACAAAGATCGTTATAAAGGTGAATTCATTGTCATTAAATACAATATATTCATATTTAACGCTTCTCCATTTTTGTTCATGTTTTGCTTCCTGTTTTTCTATTGTCGAGTACTGTTTCACATAGACAATTGTCTTATTGCGTCAATCAAATGAAAAGAAACAATTTAATATGCACAGAGACTGCAGGAATTCTTCAACACAGTCGTAGATATGACTCATTTGGTTAAGACATCTGTTGTTTTTTTTAATTATTCCCCGTATCAATTTGAAACTACGATTGAACTACTGTTCTTTAGTATCAAGTGTCAGTTTTGTTTAGTCAGCTTCGTGGATGGTAACATAAAATGCGTAAATAAAAACTAAAATACAACAGTAAAAAAAAAAAAAAATTTCTTGGTCATCATGTGCATTTGTCAAGTCAGTAGCGTTTGTGAGCAGCACTTCATTTCCTATCACACACCCCAAGGACACATAGCCCAGTGGATAAAAGCGTTGCTTGGATCCAGTGACTTGACCTAAAGAGTTCACTTCAATACCTGACTACGACAGTGGGGAACAAAAAACTTTGAGAGTTAAAGGGATATAACAGCGACATCCGGAAGAAGCATGGCTCGTGGAACTAAAACAGTCTACTCCGGTGGACGAAATAAAGGGCTCGGTTCGAAATTCTAATCATCTAAAGAAAGCCGGAGCGTACAACGGCCGAATCGTCGTGGACATGACAGAGACGAGGACAACAGTCCTAACAATGTAAATTATGTAAACCTCGTTCATCATTTAAAAATCAACCTTCTAACTAGAGTGTCTTTCGAGCCTTTATCGTATAAAGAAAAACTTCAAAGTGAGCGAAAGGGAAAGAGAGTTGAAAATTCGCATTATTATTATTAATAATACTAAAACCAATATTCACTGGACGAGAAGGGAATCAAAGAGTCGACAGAAGTAGCAAACCGTGCAGAGACTGTGGGTTACGAAAACAAGTCTAAATTTCTCTTCAGTTGTGAGTTCAATACCTGACTACGACACTGGTGAACAAAAAACTTTGACAGTTCCGTCTGATCGTCCATGGGTGACTAAATAATGTGACATTTTAACTACAAAGCAACTCTTAGTAAAGGTCCATAGTAGGCACCTTGACGTGGTGTAATGTTTAGCCTGCTTGTCCCGTGATAACAGTTACGATTGTGTATTGAGTTCGATCCTCAATCAGGGCCCTCATAACTTTTGCCTTGTGCCACATCTAAGCCACGCTTAGAAAATAACCTTAGTAAAGGTTTATCGACAATAACTCCCCCACAAAAATGAAAATTATGAACATATTTTAGTTTGGATCGTGAATAATCCTAAACAAGAGTTATTTTTAATGCTATGTCCCTTCAGGTTTTAAGCGGTCATTGGTCTCCTTTTCTTTTTTACGTATGAATTATCATGTCTTATTGCCAAATACAGTAATTTCCCCGTTACTCTGACCAAAACCAGTGCTTTCCTCCTCTTAGATTGGTTACACTCCAAAGCTAAAGAATAAAGTATACTTCGCTATTTAACCCATAGAAAGTGGGTGAAGAGAAGATGGATTCATACTTTTCTCTGAGTAAAAGACTCAGGCGTGATGATTTTCTAAATACTAAAATATTAACCTCTTAGAGTCACGGGTTAATTATCTATCCTCCTTATCCTCATAGCTTTCACGTCTTACCATGACTTCTTTCATTCATATCATGCATCTCATTCAGTAACCCTCTATCATTAACGATTTAAGATTGCAATTGGAAATCACTAGTATTTAAATCATGAGTACTTATAATGAGGTGCTGAAAAGTTCAAGACTCAACCGAGAAAGAATTCAAAGGTATTTGGTCAAATCCTGGATAATGGTTCCAGTGAGAACATTTCAGCAACTCTTCTATAACTTCCCTCTTTCTTCAAACTATTTTTCATGGCGGTATACTACATCAGTATATATTATATATTTTACAATCACAAGAATGAGTTTACGTTGATGTGTAAAAAGTCCCAAGACATGTACATGAACCCTTTTAAGTATAGCAAATTGATATGGCATCGATTCCACATATGCTCGTAAAATCTCAGAAGAAATGTTGAGCCAAAATCAAAACAAGATAACTTCTCTCTGATGATATGGTGCATTATCCTTCAGGGCTAATCCTTCGCTGCAGGGTACATTGAGTGCATAAATGAGTGCAAATAGATACGAAGCAGTAGCACTCACCGAATAAGGGCGCTTTGACGCAGACCATCACTAGTTTTCATTTAAAAAATCATGATATTCTGAATATTCAGGCCGGTAGACGAAAATAAATATACTAGTTAATAAATAAATGGAGCGCCTACTCACATATGAATATTTAGCAAAGATAGTGTTTAAGTAATAAAATGTGTCGGATGAATTACATACACTCATATATATAGATGAGACGGGTGTTAAAAATTATCTGTTGAAATAAATTATAATTTATAACAGTGTTTTCGATGATGCGTTAAGTTCCGCCCCTCTCTCTTTCTCAAAGCGTGAAACCCAGGGTCACAAACTCACATCTATCCAACCAAATATGTTAGCTCTATCTCTGATATTGAGCGCTTTCTAATAAGTACCGCGCATATAATATATAAATAATTATACATACTTATATTTATTTATATTTATACACACTTTCCACACACACACACACACATATATATATAAGGCGAAAGTAATACAGCAAAAACGTAAGAATAGTGTTCACACGCAAACAGAATATAGGCAAGAAAAAACAAAATTTTTTTTAACAAAACTGAGAATTGTCCATTTGTACTGGTTAAGAAGAAATCATGCATAAATCTTTGCGGGGGTGGGGTTCTAACAGTCATTTTCAGTCGGAACTAACTGAAACTCTTACTCATTGGAGCACGCCACACATTGTCAGTTCTCCAGGGTCCAATTATCGACGACACGAGCCATCTGTTTGATGATGTTAACTAGGGTATTTTGTTGAACCTTCTGCTCCAATATACCATGGGATAGAAATCCCCCTCCCCCAAATCCCGCTGAACTGACCTACTCTACTCGTCTCCTACTCCAGTGAACATGAATGGGATCGGAAGCAGTATCCCGTGTCTTTTTCCGAAGACAACTGTAGCTAGACACCTCCGGTCACGATCAAAGACTCATAGTCGGCCACTGTGATGTCTACGAAGAGCTGTAATGCCATCTTGTACTCCGGCTAGATCGACAGATTTCAAATGTCCCCACAATATCAGAGATAGAATATCTTATCTATTTGGCACTCAATATGCCCGTTTGAAACCTTTTCTTCTTGTCATGAGCAACCTTGACTGTCGTCACACTGATTAACCAGATTTCTGAGCACACCTGATTTCACTCTGTACATTTCTATAGCATCAATGTACGGTGGCGTCATTTAGCATATCATATTTCTATCTCATGATTACCATACTCTTCGGATGAGAGGCATGGATTCGTCTCTTCTGCTCCAGCTATGGGTTAAGCATAAAGACAGACTGGGTTCTTTAGCATTGTGTGGCATTTCGTCTAGGAGGATAGGCCTGAATTCAAAACCAGCTTGAAAAGTGACGGTCTCCGTCATATTATCTTACTTTAGGTACACCGGTACCGTTATGGCTGCAGTCAATGTGGTGCACCTACGTCCCTAATGCGCTACGTGACACAAGGTAAAATAATAACACAAATTATTCAACATTGGTCCTTCTATATGGCACTGAATGCTGGAAAATTTCACAGACGAAGGAAAAAAACTAGGCAAAAGAAACGTGGTTCTACAGAAGGATGATGAGAATCACATGGATTGAGCATTTGAGTAACGAGGATGCTTTAAGGAGAAGCAAACCAAAAATACACTTATACTTACAATCATAAAGAGAAAACTAAAATTTCTGGGACACATGAAGAAAGAAGGCATGGAGAATTTGACATTAACGGGACTTATTAAAAGGCAAGAGAGTCAGAGGAAAGCAGTGAGTAACCTACCTAACGAGCTTGCGTAAATGCATGACAAAACAGCGATCGACAGGAAAGACAAAGAACTACAGAGGATAACAAATTATGGAGAACTATGATATATTATTTGACTTAATTGAAGATCATGTTCATCTTAGATAAAAAGGAACATTTAAGAATCTATTGTCAACTGGATTCAAATCCAGTTGACAGCAGATTCTTAATAGCCTGTCTCCATTACTTCAATTCGGATCACTATAAACACATTTTAAAAGAATTACCTGCTCATGTGGTAATGACTTGTTTAGAATAGCTCACATCATATATTAAAGAAAATGAAATTATTTGCACATACTTTGAAGTCATCATGTTCTTTATAATTCAGGTCGTTTCAGGTTGAAAGAATACCATCTAACATTGTATTAATCAGTAACATTGTAAATACAGTGTAAATCATTGCAAATCTGTCAGGATCTTAGGAAAAGTTCCTTTGCACTGATCAGCTGTCATTCGCTTCTTAAAATTTAAGTGCAAAGTTACAGGATAGCAAGACGTGACTTTTCACCTATTCATTTTACAGTGAAAGGCTCTGAACTGGATGCTAGATGTCAAGTGTGTATCTTCATCAGATGGATAGACAATCGAGCTGCCTAACAGCAAAAGTCAGTGCATTGAGAGAAAGAGAAGTGGATAGAAATGGAGATGAGTGGTGGGAGAATATGAGGAAAGAGGAATGAGATAAAGAAGTGAAAGTGAATGGAGGAAAAAGGGAAAAGATGTTATATGGGGAGAGAGAGAGAGGGGAGAAGAAGAGAAAGGAGGAGGGAAAAGAAGAGAAAGGAAGAGGGAAAAGAAGAGAAAGGAGGAGGGAAAAGAAGAGAAAGGAGGAGGGAAAGAAGAGAAAGGAGGAGGGAAAGAAGAGAAAAGAGGAGGAAAAGACGAGAAAAGAGGAGGGAGAAGACGAGAAAAGAGGAGGGAGAAGACGAGAAAAGAGGAGGGAGAAGACGAGAAAAGAGGAGGGAGAAGAAGAGAAAAAAGGCGGGAGAAAAAGAATGAGGGGAGGAAAGGAGAAGAAAAGAAAGGAGGAGGGAGAAGAAAAGAAAAGAGGAGGGAGAAGAAGAGAAGTGTAGGGGAGAGAAGAGAAGTGTAGGGGAGGCGTAGGAGAAAGGGGGGGCTTAGGTATACACAAGGGGAGGCTTAGGGGAGACGGGGAGGCCTAGGGGTACAGGGGAAGCAGGCGTAGGGGGTACACGGGGGGGCGTAGAGGATATGGGGCAGTGGTAGAGGGGTATAAAAAGAGAACATTCAAAGAGAAAAACAGAGTGGCTAAATAAAGGAAGTGAAAGAAGGAGAAGAAATAAACGAGGAAATTGTTGCGTAGGAAAACAAAGAATTGAAGAAGTAGAAAAAAAAGCCGAATTTCTCTTCTGCAGAAATTTGTAGTAACGAGAAAGATCAAATTCTTTTGCCAACGCAAGAATTTTTACATCCCGAATCTAAAATGTCGATCAGTCAGGCAACAGGGTACGATTGCTAAGCATCACATTATTTCAGTCGACTACATGTTTTTTCTCGATTAAATAAACTAACACCTGTTCCTGTAAACCGATTTCTTCTCATCTTTGTCTCTTTTTCACTACTTTATTCTACTTTCCCCCATCTTATCTCTCTCCTTCCCTCTTCTCTCTCTCCATCTCTTGCCTATTTGCCCTTCTCTTTCACAGTCTTTTTCACTTTTTCCTCTATCTTTATAATTTCATGTCTATCTTTCTCTCCAGCTGTTGCATTTTCTCTTTCTCTCACCAATTTTCTCTGTCCTTCCTTTTAACGTTATTTTCTAAGTAGAATCTGACACAAGGTCACAAGTATTCAAGCAGTCAGAGACGTTCGAACTCACGACAATAATAATATTCTTCGAAACTAAATTGTTAACCAGTTCTCCAATTCCGAGAAGATCTGATTTTTATTTAATCGGACAACAGACAACTCACAACAATGTTTTGGTTAAAGATTGTGGCGAAAAAGTTTTGAACACTGAATTTCAGCATTCTAGGCCACCTCCACTGGGAATTTGAATACAAAAGTTTCCCAAAATTTATTTCGAGTAAAGTAAGGTAAATAAACGTCGAAATTGCCGCCCGTTCGTATAGTAAGTTCCTAATTTTAAAGTATGGAAGCCTATAGAGAACAAAAATCTTGCACTTTATTTATTTATTTATTTATTTTTTTTTTGCGAATAGGAAAACAATTCGTTGTATTTTGGAAATCTAGCCCTACTATTTTCGGAGAAAAAAAACTAAAACCAAAAAACAATGTAAACCAAAATACAGATTTCAAAACTGATATTTAAATTTTTGTAACAAGTTTTTAAATTTTGATTTGTTCGTTATCATGCTTGACTGCTATTAAATAATTTTCACGATAAATATTTTTACAGCATTTTTTGTGTTTCCTTGGCATGGTCTGATATAGAAAATGTTTAACATTCGCTTATATTTCATTCATTACCCGGTCCTCACTGGGTTTTCAGCGATTAATGGTAATATCAACCGTTTCCTTATATGGAAACATTCGGCATTTACTGACCACGCCGCCAGTGCTAATGACGATTGAAAATTACATTCTTTTTAACTGAAAACAATTTTTCGTAAAATTCCAGTTTTTCGCATAGATAGAGGCCGCCTCCATAGTTTTTTTTTGTTTTGTTTTATTGAACGTCAACATCTTAATTTCACTTCGAGTTACATGTGATGTACATTTTAGTTGTTGCCGTTGTTGAAAGTCCTCAATTAATGTGGTTTTTGTTATTTGGTACGGTTCTTTGTGACTTTGTAGCGTCAGGTAACAAGGTTCGAAGAAGAATGATCCTCGTTAGAGACCTACGGATTTCATTTACTCAAAGCTCTTTTTAATCACTGATCTAAGAAAACGATTGTATACAGCTGACAGCGTAAATATTCCCGAATGACCGTGGCGCCATGCATGGCATCCATATGAAAGTCTTGATCTGACGAAGCTATTGAAGAACATAACACGAGTTCTTAGGTTAATGCTTTGGGTTTTGCAGCAACTGGCGGTGTTGTGTGAAACTACCCTTACCACAGTCTATTTTAATTAATTTACCTATCTCTTTAATTTGTTATAACTGATCCATACATCGAGATAATTGAAGAATTTAGTATTTATTAATTCGATATTCTAAATTTTTATGATACATTCAGAATATGTGTTATCATTGCTTCCATTCATATTCCAGATCATAGTTTCTCTTTTGGAAAGGCTTATCTTGAGTCTTATTTCTTGAAGCACTTACTAGAGTAACGATCCCCAACCCTTTTGGTGCCGTGGACCGGTTTTATGCAAGACAAGTTTCCACAAACCGGGTGGTAGTCGGTGTCGGTCACGTGCATAACAAAACACAAACAAGATCGCGATAGTCAATAAAATGGAAAAAAAACAAAACCAAAAAAGGTTTTATTCTTTTTGTGCGGCCCGTTAACAAATGTTTCGTGGCACGGTGGCTGGGGACCGCTTCAGTAGGGAATTTTGACATTTTCTTTTCAATATCATTCTATTTCAAACTATGAATCCCTATGGCATCGACATAGCACCCTCTCTTCATTAGTACACTACCCCGTGAGTGGGGAAACAAGAATAATGTTTCTTTTTTATTAGTAGATTCGGCTGAGATGTGGTATGGAATACTTAAATAATCAGTGCTTGTATTTTTTCCTTATGTTCACGAAATACAAGAGTCACTCAAGGTAGATGGTTTCTGTGTGGTGTTGCAGGCGGTAAGAAAGGGTAAGAAGTTCTTGGGGCCATGTAGGAAAGATAACTGCTAACTCTTAACTTGAAGAGGTCAAGATTTAATTAGTGAATAACATTTCAGAGTTCAGTCGGAGATGTTAGAAGTAAAATGCGGAAGTAGACTTTAGAAAGAACCGGAAACCCAATCCTAAACGGGTGGAAGGGAGGTGGTTACAAAATGCAATTGCAGAAATATAACTGCAAAGCTTATCTGATGAACTTTTCTTTAAGGTAACCAGAATGATTTTAAATGCCAAGGTCTCGTCATTTTACTACTGAAATCGCTTGGTGTAACCGTAAGTTTTATCCTAATACAGTGCAATCTCAGTTCTCGAACGTCTCACATGGCGAACAAATCGGTTTTCGAACAGAAAATTCGAGATGAAAATGCCTCGGTTATCGAACAAAAGTTCGGTTCTTGAACAATATTGTCGAACCAAGTTAATCCGAACGGAATAATTTCTGAGTCGACCGTCGTGTTGTATACATTCGGGTGCTGTGGCGTGCTTTTCTTTTCCAATTTTATTGTACTGTGACTTTTTTTTCTACATTGATTCTTATTGGAAAAACAGTTTTGGTTTACGGACGGCCTTCAGGAAAGCATTACATTCCTGAACTGAGGATCCACTGTAGTTTCTTCTATCGCAATTCTCGCTTGTGGAACTCTCTTTCAGATTCTTGCTTCCCAGTCAACTTTGATCTTCAAAAATTTAAATGCAATGTCAATCGTTATCTTCCGCCTTAAATTCTGTCTTTTTTATTGTTCTCTCTTTAATAGTTTTTTCTTATATTCCGTAACATTTTTATTTAGTTGGGATCGTTGGCTTGGGAATGGGCTTACGAGTTTAATAAAAATGGGCATAGCTTTATGGTGCCCTTGAGTCTTAGTGGCTTTATTGCCTTGCTTGGGTTAAAATAATTAAGAAAAAGCTTGTATAATTATTAATTTTTTACTATTTCTTACGCTTTCAGTCATTTGTGTGCCACGTGTAATACACATGTAAGCGATCATGTATCTTTCGATACATGACTGATGAGGCAGATATTTTCCCACGGTAGGTTGCCATTTCTTTCTGCAGCAGACCAGTTGCCATCCAAGGCTATAGAACCCGGTCTGTCCTGCTATTTACCGATACCCTGGGGGAGAAGAGTATTAGCACGTAAGTAATAGATTCGACTGGGATTCGAACCCGGCTCTCCGATTCTTCAATCCGAGCCGCTATCCATTACTCCCCCGTACCTCCTTACGCTTTTATATTTGCTATTTTTATCGCAACTGACAGATCTTCATTCAACGAGCTTTACATTGCAATAAAGGAAAACACAAATAAGTCAAAATAATTATCAAATATTTGATTATCTAAGAAAATCTAATATTACATACAATATTTTGAACGTAAACAAAAATACGAGGCCGTTCAAAAAAGTTGAGTTGACTTAATTTGAAAGACTATTGGTTAGCCTTCGTAGCTTAATCGATAAGTGCCACAGAAAGACAAGCTTGTACGGATAAACGGCTCTAGTTCAAATATCAACAGTACCATATCCATTATCTTACTGGACGATCGTAGAATAACTATCCGGAAGTTGCTATAAAATCAACAGAAATAAGATGAAAGAAATACTAGTAAAACTGACAATGTATTATTTATAAATTCGAATACTATTACATCTTATACTACGAGTGTATTTAGATAAGTCAGCATTTTCCTTTTAAAAGCAAATGAAAAAGCTGAAGAAATATCAATGAACTGTTAATAAGTGATACATTCAGTTTTTCAGAATCGGCAAAAGATAAAATCATTAAAAAAACTGAGATTATTTTACTTAAAGTAAAGTGAGCTGTTTGTAAAGAAGTCATAAAAATAAAATGACTTTACAGATAAATATATTTTAGTTTGAAGATAAAAACAAAACAAATGTAGCGTAACTATAATTCAAATAAAAAAAAATAGCACAGAAAGTAATGTTTTCACAGTTGTAATTCGAGCTCGAATTGATTAGACGAGCGATGTCAATTGTGATTGGCAAGGTGTAATCTGTGTGACAGGTGTCACGAAAATAAAATTTGTTGAGAGGGTAGGCGAAGACGAATGTAAGCTGACGTTTTACGAGTTGCTATGGTGTGAAGGTTATGATGTGCGCATGCGTCATATAAGTCACAGAATTTGATTTCATTGTAAAGATACGTAAATGCTAAGCGATATTATATTTACCGAGGAGTCGAGATGCAAATTTATTTCGAGAATATATATATTTATATATATATATTGGAATATGCCTAAACTTACTGATATATTTTTAAAAGTATAATTGAATATATATATTGGCATATGCATATATATTTAAAATGCTTTTATATATATATATATATATATATATATTTGGTTGGATAGATGTGAGTTTGTGACCCTGGGTTTTCACGCTTTAGCGATCGTCAGACAAACTGATTACTGTTTTAAAAAATTTGGGTTTATATATAAATTTGGTGTTATTTGGAAATTTCGTCGTTATATATATAAACCCGTATACATACATGGTCGTCCGTCGGGACTCCATATGTTTATATATATGTATATATGGGACGAACGATATGTATGTATAATGTCTATACATACGACAAAATGTTGAAATACTTCCACAATTTACACGCAATATATAAAAATAATATTTCAAAACTATCTATCCAACCAAATATGTTAGCTCTATCTCTGATATTGATAATATAATATATAAATAATTATACATATATATATATTTATTTATATTTATATTCATATATATATATATATATATATAAAACGGATTCTCCTCCAGTTCCTATCCCACGAACGCAGGTGTTTCTCAAGGCTCCATCCTAGGCCCCACTCTATTCCTTATCTACATAAATTACCTTCCTGAGGCAGTAACTTCCCAAGTTGGCATCTACGCGGATGACACCAAAATTTATTCCTGCCTCAAAAACAAATCTAGTCTCGCTGACAAAACTCACCTTGCCGTGCGTCTCGAAAAGGACCTCCAATCGATTGTGATTGGGGCATGAATTGGCTGGTCAACTTCAACGCTTCGAAGACAAAACTGCTGTCTATTAATCACCACAGAGAGCCTTCCCCCTTTAGACCTCCATTAGCAATCTCTGACGTCTCAACTTCTGACCTGAGATGGAATAACTCTCTGTCAATTGCCTCGTCCACTCGAGGAAAGTTGGTCTCAGCGTTGAGTTTTGCTGAGTCGATCCTCCAGATATACAAATCCACAATTCGCCCTTGCATGGAGTATTGCTGCCATATGACTTGGCGCCCTTCTGGCCTCGGGTTTTTAGGCTCCAGAAGCGGGCAATATGGTTGGCCCTGCCCTGGCGTCTCGTCTACAGTCACTTTCTCACAGACGCGCCGTCGCCTCCCTGTCTGTTCTACAAATACTTTCATGGAAATTGCTCCGAGGAGCTGCATTCGCTGGTTCCCAGACGTCATGAGTTCCAGCGCACTACGAGGCTGGCATCCCGCTCTCACCCCTTCACTGTCGAAACTCTTAAATGTAGCCGTCTCTTCTACTCTAATAGCTTCATGTCTCGCACCTCTTACCTGTAGAACTCCCTTCCCTTCTCCTGTTTCCCTGTGAGCTATAATCTCCAGCTATTCAAGTGTAATGTCAATCGACATCTCCAGTTGCCTTAATCTATCCACTACCCTCATCCTTTCTTCTATCACTCCTATCTGATCTTGCTATTTTCTGTAACCCCTTGCGTCCTAGTGGCTTCCCGCCTTGCTTGGGGTGAAATGCTAAAAAAAAAAAAAAAAAAAGAATATATATATCGTATAGGGGGAGATTTTATGGTCAGTTTATTTTTACGCAAAAAATAAGAGGTTGCACTATACGCATGTAATGTTTTTGAAATGGTTAGAAATCCTGCAAACAACACAAAACACAACGAAAAAACATCCAAAACAAAACAAAGAAACAAACAAACAAAACAAAAACCAAAACAAGCAAAACAATGCAAAAACCAAAACAAAACAAAAAACAAACGAATAAAAAAAAAGCCAAACGAAACAAAAAAAGACAAAAAACAATAAACGAAACAAAAAAAGACAAAAAACAATAAACGAAACAAAAAAGACAAGAAACAATAAACGAAACAAAAAAGACAAGAAACAATAAACGAAACAAAAAAAGACAAGAAACAATAAACGAAACAAAAAAAAAGACAAAAAACACCAAACGAAACAAAAAAAAAGAAGAAAAAACACCAAACGAAACAAAAAAAGAAGAAAAAACACCAAACGAAACAAAAAAAAGAAGAAAAAACACCAAACGAAACAAAAAAAAGAAGAAAAAACACCAAACGAAAAAAAAAAAAAAAAAAAACACCAAACGAAACAAAAAAAAAAAAAACGCCAAACGAAACAAAAAAAGAAAAAACGCCAAACGAAACAAAAAAAGAAAAAACGCCAAACGAAAAAAAAAAAAAAAGAAACAAAAAACCGAACGAAACAAAAAACCAACAATTTACACACAAAATATTCGACACCCTTATCAATTCACCACCAAGTAAGGCGATAATGCTACTAAAACCTAAGAAGCTACTGCGAGTGAAAGGGAATGAGAAGACTTAAGGGACCAGAACCCAATCCTAAACAGGAAACAAGGGATAAACCTATACTCCTGTTCCAAAAGTGGGGAGGAGTGTGAACCAGACGATAAGCGAACTTATCTACTATTTCCATTATTTTCGTAAATGTTCTTTGTTGACTATTCCGAATTTCTTTTGATGACATTATCTACTCAATTAGCGTTAATAAAATAATTTACTGAAGAAATTGATAAGAGAGAAAGAATATTATTTTATTTCAACAATTTAAAGTAACTTTCGCATTAATATTTTATCTCAGGGAAAATAAATTTGGCAGTTAATTGTCATAACAGTTGAGATTGCTTCATTTTAATGTTTAAATATTCAACATTATTTTACAAAGTTGACATAACCTTATTTCAACAATAAACCAATCTTTTTTTTAAAACCCTGATGCAAATCCAAGTGTACTGAATAGATCTAGAAAAGAATTGGTTGTGGCTTATCAATCCGTAGAAGGCTATCATAAAATTTCCAAGCGAGTTGATTATGCTGTTCCACGGTTTTATCTATTGCTCGTGAACGGAATGAATTTGGTACCGTATTAACACTTGCAAGATCGGAATCATTTTAATATAAGAAGGAAGCTTCAGTTGATACAAATTCGAGCGTATAGCGTATCCAGACAAATCTTAAGAACGGTCGAAAAGATATTCACATCTCAAAAATTTGCATAACATTGAATGGGCAAGTATTTTACACACATTTTGTACGAAAGAAAAATGAACACTGCAGAAAGCACAAAAATTGTTGTTTAACTATATAATTAAGACAATTAAAATTGAATATGAAGACTGGCTGGAGATATAAGCCTGGTATCACTCGCAGCATGTTCCCCATTTTATATTCATGAATCTACGCGTTTCAATTAATAATGCTTATATATATTTCTTTATTAACGATAAACAACAATTTAATCTACACATTTGATAAGACTTGGAGCATAAGTTTTGTCGCCATTATTGTTGTTGAATAGTGTGCCAGCGTCAGTAATCATCCTTTAAACTTTTATGCTCTTATACTCCAGCTGCCATGAAATGTAGCTATGTCATCTGAGGACGAAAGAAGGAAGGAGAGAGAGAGAGAGAGAGAGAGAGAGAGAGAGAGAGAGAGAGAGAGAGAGAGAGAGAGAGAGATAACAGAAAAAGAAAGGGAAGTAATACAGGAGAAGAACGAAAGTAGACAAAGCGAGTAGGGGGGGGGTCAACATTAGAAAAAGAAAGTTAAAGAGCAGTTATAACAGATAATGATGACCGAAGTATGTGAATAAAAAAATAGCTGATAACATGGCTGAATTAGGTTAAATTCGCTTTACCTATATGACTAAAGGAATGCTTGAAGAAGCGGAAAAAACAATGCAGCCTGTCAAAGACTGGCACCTATAATAGATGATTTCAAAAATTCCTCACGACTTAATGACGCATTATTCTTTATTTCATACATGTGCGGGTTGTGTAGCGGTTATGTGCATACAAATTTGAATTGAAGCGCTGAGTACGAAATCCGGCCTATCCGACAAATTGAGAAAGTCACAAATCCATCTCTTCTCCCCCAGTTACAGGTTAAATAGCACAGCATGCAGAGCTTTCTAACCTCCGGGGACTACCAGACTAAGAAAGAGAAAACGGAATCCCAAATCATAGATAAGCCAATGGAAATCACACCTATATTTTTCCCAAGAAGTTCCAGATAATAAAGGAATCTGTGGAGAGCCATGATTGCCTACGCTGTTAAAAATACACGTAAATGAATATTTTCTGGGTTAATATAGGACTGTACATTACACTTATTAAAAACAAACCATTACTTACTTTCCCCAGATCCTTCTTTTTGGTTGAATTGAAACACGTATTGAAACTGATAAAGGCAGCTTCTGCTTTCGAAGACGTCAAGGCCATCTTCGGAATATAGACACGCATGTGTCTACTTACAAATCTGAACAAGTGATTTATGATCATGGACATAAATTTCGTATACAATTTGATTGTGCAATAAATTTGATCTTGAATTTGTTAAATGGTAGACCAGCGTTAGAGTAAGCTAAGCAAAAATGCTCTTACCATCGAGTTATAGTTAGCAGCACTGACTATTCAATTATGTAGCTAGTTACGTACTTACTCAATGACTCATGATTATCTTCCTATACCAAACTAAGTACTAAATAATTCAGTGCCTGGGATGGAGAGATAGCTACCTAGCAAACTGGTCGCTCGTGAAGTAGGTTCGTTTCCTACTTGGTGTCTTAAAAATCCAGTAAGTTTTGTCAATTTATAAAATATAGAACATAGATATTTTTTTTCTTAAGGATTGGTGCTGAAGAATTTTTTTTTACAAATTTATGAGATTATAGAAATTTTGGGGTTCAAAACTCTAAGAGTTGATTTCAGGATAATATCGGCCCATGAATAATTATGACAGCGTGCATTACGTTAGAGAAACGACCGGGAATTGATCCCACATGTTGACCCAAGACTTGCAAGTGAAATTGGTTAGTTTGGAAATCGTCGATTATTTTGCTAGACCGAGAATCTGCACATACTGAATGTTTTCATCTGTCGATTACGCTATATTCTCTTCCAGAAACTATAAGGTCCACTCAGCATAGTTACAGTATAAACGACATGTTGGCTCAAATAGGGATTATCTCTTAACCTTACCAGATGAGTGTACTCAGAAAACGGACAAGTCAGTGATTATTTATTATTGCCTACAGAACTATAAACAAGTTCACCAAGATTAACTTGGCTATTTATGATGACCGATGTACATCAGTCTGTCCTTAGCCTTATTAGGAAAGAAAGCGTTTACTATAAACACAGTTTTGAACAGAATGTCAAGGCACTTAATTCAGTGGTGAATATTAATTTCATATATAGGTACATCAATAATGAAAAAAGCATATACAGTATACCATTTATTTGCTAACACAATATCCTTCAGTATCTGTCTATATTTCTATTTATATTGTTCGGACTATCATATTCATCTTTGTTGCCATATTTATCACAACGTTTCGGCCGTTGTACTTTCCGGCCTTCTTCAGGTGGTTGGAATATCGAACTGAATCCTTTATTTCGCTCACTGGGGTAGACTGTTCTAGTTCCACGTGCCATGTCATGTCTAATGGATGTCAGTTATCAGTTATCTCTTGTTAATTCCTCTCCCCAAGTTCTCCACCGCCTTAGCCAGGTATTGAACTCACACTCTTTGGGTCCTGTCACTGGATAAATGCGTTAGATTCAGTGACAGGACCCAATGAGTCTCCTTGTATGTGAACAAATATGTTAAGAGTCAGTATTAGGTCTTAACAGCGCTAAGCTCTTTGTGCTTGTCGAATCCTCTGCTTTCGGGCTGAGAGGAATCAAGACGAGGCTATGCCGAAGGGAAGTCTCTCGTCTGGGGAGGTAGACAAACCCGACCCCGTTATTATGGGGTCTACGGGGAATTTTTGCCCGGGCCTAGGGGCTCGGAAAAACCTACGTTAAACCGGCCTTGTGCCACATGCTGCTCTGTGGGGAGCTCGGGTAAAGGCGCTATTAAATTTTTCGGCCGTTGTACGCTCCGGCCTTCTTCAGGTGGTTGGAATGTCGAACTGAATCCTTTATTTCGCTCACTGGGGTAGACTGTTCTAGTTCCACGTGCCATGTTTTAATGGGTGTCAGTTAATTCCCCTCTCCAAGTTCTTCACTGCCTTAACCGGGTATTGAACTCACGAAATAGCGACAAAGATGAGGACAATAGTCCGAATAATGTAAATAATATACATAACACCTCATCTCAGAAATATAGACAGATACTGAATATGGTCTTGCATAAATATACTCTTTAACTTAAAGCTTCTTGATTATGACTGGTACCATTCAAAAGACGCCTTGTCCAAGAGCTTATACGAATACAAGCCAAAACATCACCACGCTTACGCGCTGTTGTTTCTAAGTCGTGATGGTTGATTCTAAACTAGTCAGAGTTCATCCGGTGTAACTCTACATTCAGCAGTAAAAATCACTGTTGTGAAATCACTTGTCATGTAGTTCTTGCCCAACTTACAAGTTTCTCTTTGTGATATTGACAGATCAGTTCATCAGCTTTAGCTAATGTTTCTAATACTCTGCAACTTTTCTGCTTACATTCACAGCACTAAATTCAACTATTTTCTCACTGGTTAAGCTACTTTTCATGGTTTATTACTTTTTAAATTTATCTCAAATCTCACCTTGTCATATTCTTTAAGTGAATATTTCTCATTCTTTTCGTGACAAGGTTTCCGGTTTTTAAAAATTGTTCTGCGATGTTTCACGATTTCTAAAATTGTATTATTTTCGAGTTAAAATACCTTGTTTCTCTGTTGATATTTATATTATATATTTATGAACGCAGGACATTATGGTATAAGTAGTAGAAAGCCGAATGAGGTCGGCTAGGTCAGACATTCAAATACATCACACTCCAAGGATTAAAAACAATATCTAAAGCTCAGCATTTCTGAATCTTCAGTCTCTTGATGCAAAATTGTAATCGGCGTATGTTGTATTTCGCCTAATACATCATTTTTTTTGTCCGAAGAAACCCTTTCTAAGGGCGGAACACGTAACGTGGATTCTTTTTCATTTTGTCATTTCAATTAGCCACTAAAACTGAAATTTTAATTTATATATATATATATATATATATATATATATATATATATATATATATATTTAAAGATATTTTCGTAGGTACAAAATTTAATAACCGAAATAAAAGTATAAAACTTTATATTACGAGACATATTAAAAAAAAAAAAAACGGGTGAAGCAACCGGTTTCGCTCCCGCTCTTCAGGCTTCAACGGGAGATTTAAAATTGACACAGGAAAATGTACAATAAAAGGAATTGTGAAAAAAAAAAAAAAATGCAAAAGGGACTAGAGACAAATGACAGTGAGTACCAACAAACACTCACGTAGTTTACACAAAAAGAAGGCTTGCGGGACCCGATGTAAAATGTGCCCAGAACCTTCAGATGAAATAAAGATTGAGACCGGGATAAAACGGTGAACCAGTCAACACTTTTTTTTTTCCACAATTCCTTTTATTGTACATTTTCCTGTGTCAATTTTAAATCTCCCGTTGAAGCCTGAAGAGCAGGAGCGAAACCGGTTGCTTCACCTGTTTTTTTTTTTTTTTTTTTAATATGTCTCGTAATATAAAGTTTTATACTTTTATTTATATATATATATATATATATATATATATATATTAAGAAATGGACAAAGTCCGACAATTTATTTATTAAAGACATTTTTATGTTTAACGTTCTTTTTATAGTTACAAGTATTTAAGTAAATGCTCTGTTTATAATAAACAGTATTAAATAACATTTACCGGCCTGAATGTCCGAGAAATTTTCAAAGGACGAATATTTTCTATGAACACTAATATATATTAGAAATAAGAATAAACAGCTCCCGAAAGTGTCTGCCTAAGATTGCACACAGGAAAAAAGTGCTCATTGCCATAATAAATGACAAAGGTTTAATATATTTTAAGCCAAACTTCAAGTGGGCAATGACCGACCACGACCGCCTGTTTCATGCGCTTTCACGCAATTATCAGGCGGTCGCGGTATTTACCAAACCTCCCCACGAGGTAGGATGCGGCACGGGGCCAGTTTTTGTGTGGGGCAAATCCGAGCCCGTAGTCTGGGACAAAAATTCCACGTAGACCCCGCATACACGGGATGGGTTCTGTCAACCAATGGACTTCGGCATAGCCACGTACGGGTTCCTCTCTGCCAGAAGGCAGAGAGTTCGACAACAGCTAAGAGCTTAGCACGCGGCTAGCTTCCGCTGTCTGTCCGCTCTGATGTCAGGCGGATAGTTCAGGCAGTCAGTAGCTGTAGTTTTTAAAATAGGAACTCTTATACCACCTGGCAAAACCAAGATGGTAAATCAACCAAACTCACTACGTTGAGGCTAACCTATCCGGCCATGATGAAAATAGCCGGAAAAAAAATAAAAACGAAATGGTTTACAGGGGGCAAAAAAAAGTGCTCGCTGTCGTAAGGAACAATAGCACCACGGTGGAGAGCTTACAGCTTCAAGCAAAAAAGTGCTCGACAATACTAAGCCATTAAACTTAAAGACACCCACGTCAGAGCAATTGGAAACGAGAATAAGCGGTTCCCAAAAGTACCTAACACTGCAAGGAAAAAAAGTGTGTGTGGGGGTCAATGATAGAGCACCTTTTTTTTTTACTGCACTGATAAACTATTTCTGGTGGAATTTTTTACAATGTTTTTTTTTCGGTTATTTTGATCTTGGCTGGATAGGTTACCCTCCTTCTGGTGAGTTTGGTTGGCTTAACTTCTTAGACTTACACGGTGGTTCCTATTTTTAAAAAAAATCTATAGCTACTGACCGCCTGATAATTGCATGAAAGTGTATTAAACTGGTAGTTGTGGCCGGTCTGTGCCCACTTGAAATTATATATATATATATATATATATATATATCTATATCACCCCCAGCAAATAATTTATTGTAAATATTTCTTATAAGAACAGCTATTATAAACTGAAATTCACATGTCATATTTATCATTTGTATGTACGGAAAATGATTGATTGCTTAATACCAGTAGTCAACATATTAGCCTGCGTAAAAAATGGGTCCAATTATTAATTGGATAAGGAAGGAAGTGTGGTAGAAACTAATGTGTGTGTGTGTGTATATATATATATATATATATATATATATTACACAGACACACAGGTATTGAAATATTACTGTCCAACTTTGATCAGATATTTTAATGTACAAATGACGATCGAAGATATAGTATTAAGATCTATATATCAAAATAATTGTGGGCAATTGAAATAGAAAAATTACATATTCTGTTCTTCGAAAAGACTTCCACGATAAATTTACGTCCAGTACCAGCCAACATCTCTTTTTATAATAAAACTGCTGTTACAATGTTGAACATTTAAAAAAAAAAAACAAACAAACCATAGCAATAAAAAATTGAAAAAAATATAAGCAGTAGAAAAAGATTAATGAGGTCGGCTAAGTTATACCTCTAGATACATCGGACACTAAAATCTGATATAGATATATATATATATATATATATATATATATATATATATGTATGTTTCGTCCACTCCAGAGACAAATTCGATAGATAAAACAATTATTAGTCCGAAGAAATCCTTTCTAAAGACGAAACGCGTGACGCAAGAGTCCCCCACCATTTTATCAATTCATTTACAAATATAAATACTGAATAGAGCAGAAACAAAAACTTTTTTACAGACTATTTTTCGAGTGAATTTGTTCATTTCATTTGATACGAGTCTGCTGACCAGATGAAGTTCGATCCTTTCTGCTTGTGTTTAAATCAAATTCGCAAACAATCTTTAAATAGTGAGTCATTTAAAAAAAAATGTAGAAATTTATTAAAAATATCTATAGTTGTTAGGTGCTTAAATATTTCTTGGGCACTGAAAGCGAATATTTAAAACTAATCCGATATACCAAGATCGCGTGTGGCTCACAAGAGGTTTTCAAAACAATTACATTTTTGTATTTAAGCTATTTACATCTTTCGAACTGTTGCCCTCATCCTTATTGTCATATTCATGAAGTTTCGGCCTTTGTACACTTCGGATAGAAACGGCCGAAACTTCGGGAATATGACAAAGATGAGGACAATTCGAAGGGTATAAATAGTTAAAATACCTCATCTGAGAAAAACAAATACATTTTTGTGTTCATCAAAATAAATTTGACTGATCGCATAACTTTAACCAATATTTCACTGCATTTGTATCTAATTTATCATTTTAACTTTCAGTATAAAATAATTTCCTTACCATCCATTTTACTATATCTGTTTCTATAAAACTCATACTCTGTAATTTAGTCTAAAAAATTATTCTTGTGGGCAGCAGTTCATTTATTGCGATCACTGTAACCCTTATTCTTTTACATTTTAATTGTGCAGGTCTGGGATATACTGTAACTGTCTTGATAAAAAAATATTACATGATCTCTTGTAAAAAAGAAAATTTAAATATTTTTTAAGCTAAATTCCACATAAAAACTTCACGTTCCAAGTTGATTTGCTAATGTTTGACACACTTAATCGAGTGGACACGGTAACTTGACAACAGTAGAGAAAACAGCAGACAAAGGATTTAAGACAAAAAGAAGTTGATAGCAAACTGAAAGTGCTTGATAAATGAGAGAAAGACAAAGTACGCACGGAGAGAGTATACATGCTTTCTTGAAAGAAAGTGGAAGAAGAAGAGGGGGTGAAAGAAAACGAAGGAAAATAAACGGATTGACGAACAAAAAAAGTTTGTTTTTTCTTTTTAAAAAAAAGAAAAGAAAAAAAGAACAATAACTATTACACAAAGGGACAAACAAGTCATACGTAATCCATATTTCACTAAAATGGGTTGGGCCTGTGTACAGGATGAAAGACCTTTTGTAGACAAACTCTATCAATTTCACCTCGAAATGGAGAGGCGAGGTGATAGTGGTGCTGCTAATCCATGTTTTAAGCAATGAAAAAAAAAAAGAAAAAGAATGTTAATCAGAAACGTTTTGCTATTGTGGTTTACAATGTCCTGATGCGACCGGCCTAGGTATTTGATCTTTCAAATCAAGTTCAGAATATATTGTATGTATCTGTATGTCAAAGAACGTTCCGTGTGTGTGTGCCTATTATATTATTTCTTGTCTAAATTAAGATTCTTGAGCATTTTTAGCAAGTGATTCATGGATGGGACAAAAATCACAAACATCAATACATGAATTAAATTTAACATGATTAATAATCACAAACACACGCCAAATCTGCGTAGAAAAGGAATATATTTTTTTAAATAAAAAAGTAAATAGTTGGCAGCTAGTTTACGGGTATGCACGTCTATTTGGGTGGCTAGATAATCCCAGTTGCAGACGTCTGCTCAAGCACATTTGTATTTCTTCAACACCCACAGAGCCAACCATTATTATTATTATCTGAATACAATGACACGACACAGTGAAACGACTCTCCGTGTAATACATGCAGCTATTGATTCAGTGTACTTGTTCCAGCTCAAGTCATTGGAAAACGAGTGGCCAAGGAGGCGCCGTGAGAAACTTTAACGGAGTCGAGCATCAACCATGCTGATAGAGGGCAAGGAAGTTTCTCTGTGACGGTTAAATGAGAACAGTTTAGTTTTGGAGACATTACAATTTACAAGTCATTTACTACCCCCGTTAACCACTTATTGGAAATCCTTTTCAAGAGCAGCGGCCAGGTTAACTGACTGGCAACCAGTGTAGGAGACGACAAATCTGAATTCAAAACCCATTAGACGTGAAGGTAAAAAAAAAAAAAAAATAACCTATTTGCTATAGAAACAACGGTAGCGACGTCTAGCGTGGTGAGGTTGTAATTTTTTTATTTCATGGTGGAGTCTATAGGGTTACGAACAACGTTTTTCTGTTTAGTATTCTCTCGAGCTAGCTCGTATATTCACGAATCTATCATGCCGACCCCGTTCTGGGTATGACTATAAACTACATCCCCGTCCTGGGTATGACGACAAACTACATCCGCGTCCTGGGTATGACGACAAACTACATCCGCGTCCTGGGTATGACGACAAACTACATCCGCGTCCTGGGTATGACGACAAACTACGTCCAACAGCAAGGCTTCTGATCAAGAGGTTTTAAGGAGCGTGGAAACACCTCTTAATTGCTGGTGTTCCCAGGTCCACCCTGACCCGAGGTGGTAGCACCTGTTAGGGTCACAGATATGGGCAAATAGTGAACCCCCAAACTGGGGTAAAAACACTATGAAAGTGTAAAAATAGGTTTTAATTCCAGAAATTTCCAGCAATAAAAAAAACTATTATACGTTTTTGGAGAAATATTACCAACAATGTTTAAAAAAAATAAATATTACTAGCAATATATTTTTGAAAAAAAAACAACATTACCAGCAATACATTTTTGAAAGAAAAATATTACCAGAAATAGATTTTTGACAAAACAAAATATGACCAGTAATAAAAGTCTTGTCGGCATTAAATAACCCATTGAGGTTGATATGCCGCAAAACAAAACTAACCAAACTATCATGCCAACCATTACGGTCTTGTATCAAGGTCGGAAGATCATTAGGGGGGCATTCTGTATCATAACATAGCTGGTCAATGTAGGCGGTTACTCGACGACCAACCCCCCTTGCCCCATAATGTATTATACAATGTGTCTCAAAACTCGCTCAAATGATGTCAAATTTTAACAAAAGTAACGAAGTTGAATGTTCGGACTAATCTCAGTGAGAAGCTACCAGGAAGATGGGTCAGGCGTGACAGTGATAATGACAATGTGCTGTTGAAATGTCCACCACGTTCAGCTGATTTGACACCTTGTGATTTTTTTATGGGGCTATGTAAAAGGACAGGTCTATATTCCCCTCTTTCTACAAGCCTAGAGTAACTTAAGTGGAGAATCAATGAGGTGCTCTATCACTAATATTGAGCGCTTTCCAATAAGTACTGCGTATATATATATATATATATATTTACACACACACACATATATATATATATATATATATATATATATATATATATATATATCACACACACACATATATATATATATATATATATATATATATATATATATATATATATATATATATATATATATACTCATTTCACACACACACACATATATATATATATATATATATATATATATATATATATATTGGTTTACCACGGGCGCTGAAAAGTTATTGGCTCGCTCAATATTTTCTCGTAAAAAATCTGATGTTTGCTTATCATGTCGTCAAATGTTTGGAAGTGGTTAGGATTTTTTAGCATCTTCCGAGAATATGAGTTGATTCACCTTGATCCTAAGAAGACCGTCAATCTACGCGTTAATCTTAATTTCTGACGGGTACTATCCTCGTTCGCGCACACGCATATATCTTATTAATAATGTTTATTTACTCGTATGCATAAATTTGTTTCTATTTATTTCCCGCGTTTCTGATTGTCATCCACATTTCCACTTGGATTCATTGCCCTTTTGTCTTTTATCCAATCAATAAACCTTGTTGTGCTTATCTCAGTTTCTTTAAATGTCGTTTTAAAAGTTGTCCACATTGTCTTTGCACTCATCAGTTGCCATTTGAAAGTGACACTTGTTTAAAATAGTAACGGCAACCTTTTGGTCGGACAGGAATTACACAGACTTCCATGGGCGAATTTGGCCTCCATCTGACCTCTCTAGTTCTAGACAGACTCCGAACAAGGTGAGATAAGCAGCTGACAAAAGGTTAAGAGAGACTTATACATAAGCGGACAATGCTATCAGTTTGTAGCGTTGACCTTTTTCTGCACACTCGAATGAATGACCCAAGCCAATCAGAAAGCTACGATGACCATCCCGCTAATGTCTCACGCGCATGCGTGTAGTCGTTTTCAACAAGAAATGTAACCGATTCAGATTTTAAAATTAAAGCAAAATTATTTTTTATGAGAAATATATCCTGTTATTTATAGTTGCCTTCAAAGACAGCAATCCAAATGTTTTTATTTCCACCTATACATATATATATATATATATATGTATGTATGTATGTATGTATGTATGTAAGGCTCAAACACTAATATTCCATGGTTATAATTTATTACATTGAAATCGTAATTACGATCCAATTAATCAAACCCACAAATTCAAAAATAAATTGGAAAATATAACTCCAGGTATAAAAAACAAAATTTTAGTGAGAGTGTATGTGTGGGAGAGGGAAATGTCTGAAAGCTCTAGAGAGAGAGGTGTAATAGAAGAAAGAAGAAGAGGAAGGCCTAAAGGTGAAAGGGGGGATTAAAATTTAACAGAGAGAAGTTTTAAAGAGAGGAGTTAAATAACGGTTTAAATGAGTGAGATACAGATAAATATGAATTATTTTCAGATGCATAATTCGCTACCAATTTGCTGACCTAAAATTAAAAAAACAGACACCGAAAACGTGTGGATACATTTCTGGTGACACTATGCACAATAAAAAACGAAAATGTGAAAATTTTCCGTCTGATTTGCATTATTAACCTTATGTATATAAGAAAAGAGAGGAGGAGGAAAAAAAAAATAAAGAAAAACGGGTGGGGCACAAATTAAAAACGACGGCATTTATAATAGAATATAAGTGTACTCAAGAACAATTAAATCAAGTAAAATCACATACAGGTTAGAAATTTAACCTAAACATATAAAAAAATTTTAAAGAATATTTAATCTAGTAAAGACCTACTATTTATATGCCCCAAAACATACGTATATACACACATACACAGCTGTCCTGGACATGGAGTTCTCTACCTGGATTCTATCCTCTTGGAAATTTATACACAAACACACACATATATATATATATATATATATATATATATATATAGACGATATATATATATATATATATATATATATATATAACGATATATATATATATATATATATATATAGACGACTAATATATATATATATATATATATATATATATATATATATATATATATATATATATATATATATATATATATATATATATATATATATATATATATATATATATATATATATATATATATATATATATATATATATATATATATATATAGACGACTATATATATATATATATATATATATATATATATATAGACGACTAATATATATATATATATATATATATATATATATAGACCACTAATTATATATATATAATATATATATATATATATATATATATATATATATAGATGACTAATTATATATATATATATATAGAGAGAGATAGAAGACCACTAATATTATATATATATATATATATATATATTATAGAGAGAGAGAGAGAAAGACCATATATATATATATATATATATATGTGTGTGTGCCTCAACGAAGTAAATGCATTCAAAACACAGGCAAAAAGCAACGAACAGAAATATATATGAACAATACATATTTTATGAAGTTTTTTAAATGACAGTACATGTTTACTAAAGTCTGGCAAAAAGTAAGGATAATAGATAAGCCAATGAAGATCAAACTCTTCGAAGTGGTTTACTAGCTTTCTAAACACTTCTTTGAACTTCAATATCTATATTTCTGAGATAAGGTATTATGTACATTATTCGGACTATTGTCCTCATCTTTGTCGCCATATTTATTACTACGTTTCGGCCGTTGTACGCTTCGGCCATCTTCAGGTAGTTGGAATGTCGTACTGAACTCTTTATTTATACCTCATCTCAGAAATATTGACAGATACTGAAGGATCTGTATGGACCGGATACACCGAAAATATGGAGACAAATTGAAAAATCCTACCAGAAACTGGAGCAAAATAAAGGGTTCAGTTCGACATTCTAACCACCTGAAGAAGGTCGGAGCGTACAACGGCAGAATCGTAGTAATAAATCTGTCGACAAAGACGAGGACAATAGTCCGAATAATGTAAATAGTGGGCTTTGAACTTATAAAAATCATTTCACCCCAAGAAAGACGATAATGACACTAAGACGCAAGATGTTACTGGACGTGAAAGAGGATGAGAATATATTAGTGAAGAGAACGGAAAATACAAGAACATTGTTCATGGAGACAGAAGGTAGTGCTATATAATGACTTAAATATCTTAATATATTACGTAATTCTTAGAGTCAGCAAGAGAGACAACGCAATTTATTAGGTACGAATCAGCGATGCCAGAAACAAGAAGGTAAAGAAATTTAACAGAATCTTATAGTAATAGATGACGGAAAATATGACGCAGATATCCGAAGGCATATTGGAACAGCAAATGATGCTTTCCAGAAACTAAACAAAATATTGAAAAAAAATAAATAAATAAATAAATAAAATAAAAAAGAAGAGTAGTGCTGAATTTCTATCTGATATCTAATCTCTTATACGGCACCGAATGCCGAAAAATTTACTGACAGATAAAGGAGGGACTCAAAATGCCAGAGTCTGTTCTACAGACATATGTTAAGAATACCATGGACTGATCATGCAACAAGGAAGTTTTGAATACAATCGAAACAAAAAGGACATTTATTCTTAAAAAAAAAATCAGATAGTTGAAATTTTTGATATACGTAACGAGAAAAGAAAGCCTAGATAATATAACACTCACAAGTAATAAGTTAAGAGAAGCAGAGGGAAACAGAAATTCACCCACGTAATGTTGCTTGTGCGAATGGATGGCAGCGCAGAGAGAGAGAGAGAGAGAGTTATAGTAAAGAGTTGAATATTGTTAATGCTACAAGGGATATGAAATTGTGGAGAGTCATGATTGACCACACCCTGAAGGGATACAATATATAAAAGAATTAATTTATCCTATACTATATTAGCTGTGAATCGTTTCAATTGTCGGAAAATTATCACTGACGTATAAAAAGCTAAATACGATATGCAGACGATTGTGGCAATCGTTTATTCAACGTCGATGACAGATTTGTTTACATACCCTACGTGTCGTGTTTACGGACTTGAAATTTCTTGGTTATATAAATATGAAAACGGCCTTTTTACATAAGCTTTCAAAATAAGTAATAAAGACTTTGAAACGGTAAAAACATTTATTAATTTAATGAGATTTTTGAAAATAAATCTTTTAAAAATAATTTTTGCGTATATATTTTTTACAAACCAAAAGTATCTGATATTTTAATTAAAAAAAAAAAAACTGAAAGTAAAACCTTTCCAAACAAAATGATTGCAGTTTTTATTTTCCAATTCAAGAGATATCCTTACATCTCATGTTTATTCGAATGAAATTACAATTAATTTAATTTTTCTAAAGACTTGTCTTTCTCGAAATGTAAATATTCTTAGTGTTCAAATGATATCTCATAAAATCTTTATAAAATTAAATCAAGAGAGGAATTCACTTTAAAATATTTTTAAAAGATTATTATAACCAAATCCTTTTTCATAAATAAATAAGTTTCTATCTGAATTTCTGGGATGGGGATTCATTATTTAGATTACATAATGGGATCGGCGTATATATATTAAGTTATTACAGTCTTCTCAGTAGGTCGAGCACAGAAATAAATAACATATGGAAGCTATAAAGGAAGAGAAACGACAGCAAAGCCCCGGTAGCGGCAAGGTTAAGAAAAGTGAAACGGCGGCAAAGGAGATCAAGTATGACAGTAGTGATGGCAACAGACAGATAAGGAGTTATTACATTAGGTTTAACTCTTCATATTCTAAGTTCAGGATTGTGCAACGGGATAATCGCTTAGTGAATTAAAGGGTTGGTTCATGAAGTTGGTAGAATAGTAATTGTGAGTTTAATCACTGGATTGGATAATACAGATTTAAACTGATTTGGTAACAGGGTGAGCAATAACTAAGCAATACTAAAAAAGGACGAGATATCTTTAAACCTGCATAGAAAATTCGTTATATTAACAATGAAAATGGCTACATTAATCCGAATGTTTGCTATTGCTATCAGCCTGTTAACTCGTGGCACACAAAGCCTCTGGTGAGCTTTCTGTAATCGAATTGTTCCACGGGTGGGGCGATTGGTGCTAGGTCCAACCTCTGAGCTCTGGCTTCCTGAAAGAAAATGAGGGCATTACTCTGAATGTCATCATCATCCTCTTGACTTTTGTAATCGTAAGAGTAGGAGGGGAACCGAATACAGAAGTCACACTAAATCTCCACCCCCCACAACGGTCTATGAATGGCAGACATCAGCAATTCTGGTATAGTCATAACTGTCCATTGTTTGACATTGTTCAACCAGATTTTACGTTGGCCTCCTCTCCTACGTCCACCTTCAGCGGTGCCTTGCCTGATGGTCTTGCACAGGCTGCCGTGACTTTTAATGTGTCCAAACCCCGAAACATCTGAATGTAAATAATGTAAGAATGAAATTTGATTTTAAAAAAAAATGAACAAACTTGAAAAACTTGATTGAAATTCGTTAATTTGAAGAAGTTTAACATTTTGGTGTATGCATGTCATATTGTAAAAAAAAAAAGTGCGCGCACTTTCTTTCAAGATGTCTATTTCAAAGCTCAATGATTGAGAGGGAAGAGCGTCACAGAAGTCTGAAGGCGGACTGACATAGCGAACGATGTCTTCTGAAAGCAAAGCGTCCTGGGTAAGACGATAAACTGCATCCGCGTCATAAGATGATATACTACGTCCAACAGCAAGGCCTCTGATCAGGTGTTTTTGAGGAGCATGGAACCATTTTTTAATTATTGGGATTCCCAGGTCCATCCTGACACGGGGTGGTAGCACCTGTTAGTGGGGGGGTCCAAACTATGGGTAAATAGTTAATCCGAACTGGGGTCAAAACACTATGAAAATGTAAAAATAGGTTTTAATACCAGCAATAAATTTTTGGAGAAAATTATTATCAGTAATAGATTTTTGAAGAAAAAAAATATCAACAATAAAAATCTTGTCCGCATTAAATAACCCATTGAGGTTGATATACTGTAAACCAAACCAAAAGAAAATATTAAGGAAAAGGAAAAAATCATTAGAAACAAAGAAAATAATATTGAATTGTTATATATGACAGTGAGTGTAGGACAATCTCCTCACAGATAAAGAGGAGGAGGCAGCTGGAAGATACAGAGAATAGCATGGACCAGATAGAGTAAATGGTCAGGAAACTTGTACTTATCATGAAGAGATAGTTAAAATTTCTAGGGCACATTAGGAAAGAGGGACTGGAAAATTTTGTACTCACAGGACAGATTGCAGGTAAAGTAGGGACAGAGGAAAACAACGCATAACTTACGCAATGAATTTTGGTAAAGGAATGGCGAAACAAAGTTTAGGAGAAATAGCCAAAAGACTGTTGGCGGTTTATTCAATACCGGCTCATCTATATGGCAGTGAATGCTAGACAATCTCACAGAATGAAGAGACTTGAAGCAACCGAAATGTGGTTCTACAGAAGGATGCTGAGAATATCATGGACCGAACATGTGAGTAACAACGAAGTTTTAGAGAAAATAGAAAAAAATGGCTACCGAATTGAAATTTCTCGTGACATAATGAGGAAAGTGGGCTTGGTAATTTTGATACTCACAAGACAGTGAAGGCAAGAGGAAAACTACGCATAACCTATTTAGCGCACGTGAGTAAATGAACGGCTGAAAAATGCTTAGGCGACTATTTAAATTATTTGGACTGTTATCTTTATTGTCTTTATTCCCGACGTTTCGGCCGTTGTGCGAACCATCTTCAGGTGATATACGTTGGAATAATCTATTTAGTCCGCGGGGTAGATCGGTCTAGTTCAAAATGCCATGCCTCTTTTGGATATTTCTGTTTCAGTCAATACCCTTTAGTAACATTACTGACTTCTGTTTAAAAGCGCAGATGAACATTTATTGAAATATATGTAGATTCATAGAAGGATATCCCTGCAAATTAGCACTGATCAAAACTATCAATAATTCAGAGTTCTAGACAATCAATTATGCATTCATGCTTACTTCCCGCTGATAATGTTCCAGTGATATATAGATAAGTAAATACACACACGTAGATGTATTACAAGCGACAGACACATTATGTAGAAAGCCAACTCTTTATTACGTGATTGTCGGCGGGGTATGAAATTATATCACTGAATTAAAGATCATTTGGTTATATCGACGGCTGTTGAAGGCCTCAAGATTCGCGGCAGTGTAATATTCCTTGTAATCAATTTTCTTTGCAATGAAAAGGAAAACGGAAAGAGGGTCAAAGGTGGAGGAAGAGAAACGGAAAGAAACAAGGTGGAATGAAAAAGGAAGATGAGGAAGAGGAGAAAAATTAAGGGATTGTTGGAGGAGGTAGAAGAGGATGAGGAGAAAAACCAACAGATAGAGTAAGTTGGTAGAGGAGAAAGAAAAAAAAAACAATGAAAGGAGTAAGTGGAGAGAAAATAACTGAGAGAAAGTGTGGAAAAGAGGAGAGAGAAAGTCAAAAAAAAAAAAAAAAACAACGTTCAGAGGAATTGTGGAAGAGAGAAGCGAGAGAGGAAAAACAACGATCAGACAAAGAGTGAAATAACATGAGAAGGAGAAAAAACAACACTGAGAGAAAGTGGGGAGATGAGGAGCAAGAGAGAAAAAACACTGGACGGAGGAAGTTGGCAGAGAGAGTAAAATAACGTTGAGAGAAAGTGGGGAGAAGAGGGGAGAGAGATAGAGAAAAAAAACAAGACTGAGAGAAAGTGAAGAGAAGAGGAGAAAGAGAAAAACAACGTTGAGAGGAAGTAGGTAGAACAGGAGAAAGTGAAGAAAACAACAACAGACGGAGAAAGTGGGTGGAAGAAGAGAAAGAGAAAAAAATGAAAGCATAGAGGGGAAAAGGAGAGAAAGATTGTTTATTGATTCATTAGTTTTCTATCGCGTATCTCATTAACACTTTGCAGGTTATTTAAAGCTAGAAAATAATTTTAAATTGAATGATTTATTTTTGGAGGACGGCAATAATAATTTAGTGATAAACGTCTTACTAATTAACCCATAGCTGGGGAGAATAGGTGGATTCATACTTTCCCAATAGTACTTGCGCGTAAGTGAATATAGCAAATACAGCTAACGCGGCTGAAATTGGAACTCGGCTCTCCTATTAACCATTCTGAGCCATTATCCATTACACCAAGACGCAAGTTAAAGTTTACAGAACCTGGTATCCTTCAGGCTCGACACTGCTTAATTTCGGTGGTCGGAAACTTGTGTTTTAACGCTATATGGCCGTAAGCCTAAGAAGAGAAAAAACAAAGTTTAGAGGGAGTGGTTAAAAGAAGAGAAGATGGAGACATTGACTAAGCGGAGTGAAAAGAACAAAGAGATGAAATGGAGAGAGAGGAAAAAAAAAAGCAGGATATTCTGGAGCACCACCACGTGATGATCGAACTCACTACAGAACCAATAATCTACTGAATTGAGTTTTCTGATAATTTTATCTAGGTCTGAACTGAAGATTGAAAACTCTTTAGTTACGCACTGGTCCATGAACCAAATTTGCTCCCGATGAAAACAAAAATATGAAAAGATGTATTCTCCGGTAATATCAGTAATTTTACAAGTACTGAACAATGTCCTTTTTCCAGTTGTCATTGGCACTGTATGGATACATCTCCATAGCTCAATAGCCAGAGCTTGGCCGTTGATCTCTCCTTTGACCTATCTCTAACAGCTCAGTGGTTGGTGGAGGGGGGTACTAGCTGGTCACATTCACTGTCTCGAAAACCAAAACGTTCCATCATCATCGAGTAGACCCAGAACTTTCACCGATCGCAATGAACAAGTGTTTCCACAGAGAGGCTCTGTGCCTTGAGCGCTTTTTGGGACGTAAAGTAAATCCAGGCTTCAAGTGGAACTCGTACATACGATCCATCGCTAAAGATGCTGGAAAAATGGTCGTTTCACTGTAACGCTTCAGTAACTACCTGACTACTCCTGCTATCCTCTAAGAACCAGATAAGGCTGAAAATGGAGAAGTGCTGCTATACATCGACAGGAACTGTTCAGTCTTCACTTTCCAGTCTCGTAGAGTCACCACGTCCTTATGGCTGATGAATTATTTTCCAACTTAGAATCCATTTATCACAGAAGAAACGAAGCAAGCCTCTCGTTATTGACATGGAAAGTGTCCAGACGAACTACATTCCTTAGTTCCACCATTTCTAACTTTCACGGCTAAGACCCGCTATACTACAGATATTGTAGTGAAGCACCCTCATTCCCTTCGTAAACCATTGGTGAGATACAAGTTCCACTCGAAAAGATTCTTTCTACGTATCGCTACGTTGTGGAACCGACTCCCAAGATGATGCTTTTCCGAGCACAACACTCTTAGACTCTTCAAGTCTCGAGGCAACTGCTATCTTCCGCCACATTTTCCCATAAACTGTGGTTCTTAATCTGTAACCCTCTACCTCGAGTGGCTCTTAGGCCTTGTACAGAATGAACATCATTGTAAAAATAAACGGCGATCTGTCGTCATACACAGAATAAGGATAAATCATTTTAACAATAAATAAAATAAAAAGAAAGAGTTAAAAAATAAGAATAATAAAATATATAAGAAAAAAAATATATCACATTTTGCTACAGTGGTTACAATGAAACTGAGAAAGTCCGGTCACGTGGCTGAAGTAGTTACGTATTTCTTATTGGTGCCAGCGACCAGTGTTCGAATTTAGTTATATTTTAAGATGGAGGGACTGACAAATTCTCAGTTCAGTTAAGAAATCCTTCACATTAAAATTCTGTTGGATCTTATTTAGTCGAAAGAATGTTGTGCCGAAAACATTTTAGCACCTCTTGTAAGCCAGAATGTTGAATTTTGACTTTTCAGGCATGCAAAATGGCTGCCCCTACTTGAAAGATTGGTGTAATACATTCGTTCTCTCTCCATTTCCCTTGATTTGAAATTTCTTGTGCCATAACTAGTAACTAGTGAGAAGAGTCTGCCTTATAGCTGAGGTTGTTGCATTTTATTTACTGACTCGTAGAGTTCGAGCCCAATTAAAAGCCAGGGGTTTCGAGGTAAAAGAACCGATCATTTATATTTTCCATTTTGGTACAGCGGTCTTCCATTTTTACTTTGTACTGAGCTAAGTTCAGAAATATTATTGCTAAAGTAGTTGTCTATTCCCAAGTAATGCTGGTGGGAGCTGTTCCATTTTTAGGTAAGAAACAAGCATTCGAATACTTATTTTAAAGTCATACAGCTCATTCAAATAGAGTAGATTGGCGCAACATGATCTTTCTACACTAAATTCCTTGTAGTGTACAAATCTAAGCTTATTTAGTAACCAAAAATTAAACAACAGCAATAAAAACGGGTAAATTTGATAGATTTTTACGAACTTATCAACTCTGCAAGCTATTTAAACCTGAAAAATATTTTAACTTCTTATAATCATTTTTTTTTGCGAGTGAATATTGAATTAACAATTATTGGAGATAATGATTTTTACAGATACAAGTTCTACTGGGGGAGAGATTGTATTTGCGTCTAAGTGAATGCAACTCGACTGGAAATCGAACTCGGTTCTCCATTTTCTCACTGGCACATCCTGCACTATGTTTTAGGTGGATTAGAGACAAGAAAATGTGGATCAGCGGGAAGGGCAAAGAATTGTTGATGTCAAAATCAAACAACGACAGAAAATTAAGTATCTGGAATGTGTTCTAACAGAAAATTTGTCACAGATGTGTCAAGACTCAGTGAAATAGTGAAAGATGCCTTCCAAAAGCTAAAATTATTAAGAAGCAAGAAAAGTTTGCTGAATTGCAATGTAATAATAGTCCTACTCCCTATGGCAGTGAATGATGAACAATTTCATCACAGATGAAGAGGGAACTTCAGGCAACAAAGATGTTTCACAGACGGATGCTGAAGATAATATGGGCAGAGTCATTATATATATATATGTAACAAGAATAAGTAATGGGTTTTTATTAATCCGACAGATTGAACAGTATATTTATTTATTTTCGTCTACTGGCCTGAATGTTCGAGGAATCTTATAGAAGAAAATTTGTGCTCCGCGTCAGACCGAATTTTTTGTTTAGTGCCTTAGTCGCATTTTTGTCTTGCTTGGTGGGAAATGATTGAAAAAAAGAGAAAAGACTATTGCCTACCACACAGACACCACATTGGTTCTTGAAAGTGACTGAAACGGTCGAAATTATTTGAGCAAAACATTATAGCATGAATTAAGGACAGTTTACACACAACTTCAACCACAATATCCTATTGTAAAGGAGTTAACATTGTCAGTTCTTCTTAAACTTACCTGGAGGAATACTTGCTGCCTAAATATACCTTGTTCAACAGACACAATATATAATAAAACAACAAACATTTTGTGTACTCCAACCACACTCTCACGGAAATTCAGCTACCCCTTATCGGACTATAGTGCTGTCAGACAACACGTTAATAAGCAGTATAAGGATCATAGTAACAGTAGACGGTTACTCATAAACTATATCAAAATACTAGCAAAATCAAATGGTAAAAACAGGCGTATAACATTCGAAGCATTACTTACACAACAAAAACAACCGTCAATAAATACAAATACCTTAAGAATCGGCATCCTCAAATGTATATAATAAAAACAAAAACATGCATCACCTCGTTCATGTCGTAACACTCATTAGCTCTAAGAAACTCACCAATTGTCTAACTATACTGATGATGACTTAAGAATGTCGAAACCTTGGGCCATATTTTTTGTACTTTTCTTCTGAAATGAACTTGACAATATCTGATGCAATTTCCCCCTGCCCGAGAAGGATTATTCGTAATTTTGAAAAATCGATCATTAAAATTAAGACACAAAATGTTTGTCGTTTTTAATAATATTTGCTTTAAAAACAGAATATATATATATATATATATATATATATATATATATATATATATAACTTAAAAAAATTCTCATTATTCTTCTGGGATTGAATGTTACTTGTTTAGTTAATTATTGTCGAAGTATTGGTAGGAAATCTAATCAACATCGTCAAAGTCAACGGTCAATCGTCAACTATCCTCTATATACATATTTCTAACTCTTACATTCTTATCACACACCTCATTCAGTAACATTAGTTTGAGTGGCTCTTGAGCTATGTATTGGGTGAACATTAGCAAAGAAGGAAAAATTTAGACGGAATAAAAGTTGAAAAAAAAAAATGAAATAAAAGATGTAAAATTTTGAAGAAAATAAAATAAAAAAAAGGTATAGGAATAAAAAAATAAAAAAGGTTTAGTGAGGGAGGACTGGTGAAAGAAAAACAGAAATGAGAAGAAGGAAAAGTCAAGAAAGACCCGGAGAGGAGACATGAAAGTAAAGGAAGAAATACAAAGGGGGGGAGGCAGGAAAGGAAGATAAAAAGAGGGAACTGTAATAAGAAAATCGGCGGGTATCGAAAGATTTTATAATAATGCTATGTTGATTTACGACTTTCGATTATGACTTTCGAGAAAGTTTCTTCTTCGTTCTCTCCCCCTCACTTTCCCTTCTGTATTTCACACCATTTTATTTTTTTTCTCTCTCTCTTTCTCTGCTTTTCGCCCTTTCCTAACATTAATTCACTACATTAATATAACAAATGCTGAATGTCTACATAACAACTTAACAGCATGTGTGAAAATGATTACACAAGCAATTCAACATCTTTGTATGATAATCTAACTGAAATGCAGACAGTCTTAAAAATGACTTCGATGTCAAATTCTGACTTCTGTCCGATCAGCAACCCCCAACCGATATGTTTCTATGGAAACAAGAAAAAATCCATTCATAATTTTAGAATATATTCTCTCAAGAGGCAAC